TACATTAATTAATACTTTCTTTAAATATTAGAAAAGTATATAAATTCACTCCGTACTCTTTTTTCCTACTGTAGAAAAATATATTAATTAAAAATTATTGTATTTTTTTTTTTTAAATGTGAATATCCTAAGTTTATGCCTTTAAGTTTGCTCGTCTCAATTTTATATGAAAATTATTGAGCTAAATTTTAACCATTTGTCATTATTATTTAAATATATACTTTTGAAACGATTCATTTGTTTTACAAATATGTTAGCGTATTTAATAGATAAGTGAAAGTTGTTATTTAATTTTAATTAATTAATGAAACGTGCTAAACATTTTCCTTCCTAATTTGAAAGCAAATGCGTTATAATACATGCAAAATATATTGGCAATTTTCCTTATACAATTTTTTTTTCATCTCACTATATTTTACATTTTATCAGATATATATAAAATCAAATTTAATTAAGTTTCTACAGATGGAACAGGGATTCGTTGGATAGACCAAGCTTTTTCATTAATAGACCAAGTACAAAACTGTGATGATTAGAAAATATCTTTAATTGTATTCTTTTAAAACATTATATAACTTCCAAATGAGTCAAATATATTTGAGTCTATATCAATCATTTTTAAGTTTTTCTATAATTTAAATCAATCGTTTCGTAACAATATTCTTACGAAACGATTAGATTTAATTGCAGAAAAATCTAAAACATAATTTATGAATAAAATTTTTAATGATATATTTAACTTTTATACTTTCCTTATTGCATAATGGAAAATCTCCTAATTTTTCATTATACACGCAATTCTATTTTGACACAGTTTATATAAATATGTATTTTTTTTTTTTTTTTAATTTTTCCTCCCTGTGAACACTAAAAGAGCCTTTTGAACAAAGCCCATTATGGGTTCGGCCAAGTCCGACATCCGACAAAACACCTCCAAAAAATTGATGTGGTTTTCGACCGTTCGGATTTGATTCCTGGTACCTTAGAGCAGTAGGCTGTCACTTTAACCGTAAAAATAGATATGTTCACGAAGAAACCGTATAAAGAAAGGTACACATCGTTTCATATATCTTGGCCGGCAATACGCAATACTTCTGGAATTCTGGAGTATTGTAACGTTCAAGAGCTTATTTTGGTAACGCACATTTATCTTGTCACAGATTCGTCGTTCCCCTCACTAATTAAATAGATTGGTTCCTGCTACTGCACATGTTTATAGCACAGTCGAGATTCGTGAAACGAGTCGTATTGTCCCTACAGAAAAATGGAATATTGGTTTCAGATCTTAAAAACCAATAAATAAAATACGATAAACCAATTTATACAATAGAATGTAAATAATCAGACAAGGGAAACTGTAACTTACTTATCGCCAAACTTTATTAAAGTTATGTTATTTACATTAATTTTATTTTCATTTTATTTTTTATTTGATATTTTCAAACACCAAAATATTTCTATTTAGTGCCGTAACTAGCTTTTCACGTACTCTATTCAAAATTTTATTTTTGGCTCCTTTTTTTGGAAAAAATATTAAAAAAACAACAAAAAAAACAAATACGACAGAAATGGTCGGTCATTTTTTTTAACTTTGTTACAGAATCGGTTCCCACGGCGAAAAAATTTAAAGTTTAAAAATAAAAATATAATACTGATAATTTTTTATTCCCTATTTTAGGGCTGCCCTTTGTCCTGTGATCCCTTGCAACCTCCTAGTTACGGCATTACTTCTGTCTTTTATGTTTTAACATTAAATGATATTCATTCAAATCAATCGTAATAAAGCCAAATATAAAATTTACTTGAAAGTGTGCAGCATTCGTAAATGGAAATTATAAGAATTTTTTTAAGAGCAATTTTCTAGAGAAGAAATATGAATACTTTTCTTATAATTAAAATTAAATGAACAGTCGGATGGTCCAGAGACTAAGTCACGAGTCGCTGGACCAGCTTTAAGGGACCCAGGATCTAATTCGGGCGAATAATTTCCTAGAAAATTTTTCACGTGCGATCTATCAGATACATCGGGCCCCGTTCTTCACCATCCGATCACCCCCATTATGGGACTTCCAAACCCACGATGAATGTAGAAAAACTCTTTTAGTACCCACAGGACGGAAAAAATCAAAATTAAAATTATAAGATGATTTTAAAAAGGAAAATTTATTGAAACGTGTTAGACCAAAACAAATTATGTAAAAAGAAAATTGGATTATTTTCCAGACAGTGTTAGTCGTGTAAAGACTGAATTGGGCACTATACTTTTCCTTTTTCATAGTGACTCATTTAGGAATGCAGGCACCCTAAATTATAATACAGTAGTGTCACTTTTGCATTAAATTATTCTTTTTTTTTGACATAATAAATTTACATAAATAATTAAATTATTCTATTTTATGATTTCCATTTTGCAATACAGTAGTTGTATTTTCACAAATTTTTAAATATCGAAACGACAAAGAGCACTGCTTTTGAAAGGTTACAGTCATTAGTAAGATACTACTACTCTTTTCATGGAAAATATATTATTAAAATATATTTTATATATTAATACTACTCAACTAATATGTCTTATTTTGTTCCTAATTAATTTGCACTAATCCCTTTATGAATTATTCCACATAAAATTCTTTTTTCATTATTATTGTTTTTATTTTGAATTTTTGCGTTCCCAAACTCTCAGTAGACGGACCATTCCCGAAAATTTTTCTGGGGTTTATCCACTCGCCCGGGTTCTTCAAAGCAAAGTTTGCCACCTTAATCTCTCTGCCATTCGGCCTCCACTGCTGGGGCTTTGGCAACGTAATTTTATTTTCCTTTTTTTTACCTCCTGCCATTATGAAACCAATTATCTGATATCGTGACGAAAAATATTCAAACTAAACTCGACCAGTAAAAAGATGAAACATAAAAACTATTAGCACAGTGTTTTTCAACCTTCTTGAATACGCGACCCCTTTACAAGTTAAAAAATTCTGGCGACCCCTCCAGGGCCATATTAAAACTATATCAGTGATTTTAAAAACTATGTATTTAATTTTCTTTCTGTTGAAACAAATTATTGTTGATTAAAATGAAAATTTCAGAAGAATCGACAATAATTTAACACACAAAGTATGAAACTTCCTTTAATTATAACATTAGGCACAGGGAGCTGTTGACCTTTTATTTTATTTATTATTATTTTTTTTTTGATCCGTTTCAAGTCATATCGAACCAAAAAGTGGCGGGCTTGATAAAAAACGCCACGTCATGGCCGTTTATTTATTATAAAAAAATAATACAATGGTTATATGACACGAAGCGTTGTTACACAATACAAATACAAAAGTTTATATAACACAAATCATTGTTACACACATAGATAATGACAGGAGAGAAATTTAACAAGGGAAATAATCAATTAATTCCCTAGAAACAAGTAATAATTTAGAATTTAGATATACTTTACTTAAGATTTCTAAGAATGAACAACTTGTTTTTAATTCCAAGAAGACCTCCAGGAAATTTAATTTTGAAAATTATATTATATTCTTAATGTTTATGAACGGGAACCTACTCTATCACAAATTCGTTTACACAAAGAATTTGTTTTATTTAATAATCATTGAATTAGATAAAAATTCTATTAATTTATATTGAAAAAATTTTCACGTATCTGCAACGTATCACTTCATTGAAAAGTAATAAATATGGAAGAGACTTATGCATTCGTTTATTCCACTCCTTCCATTCTGCAAGCATTATGAGAATCTTTTTATGATGTCCATCACGAATTCTAGTAGGCCTATAATGGAATGATTAGTGGAAGGATATACACCAATGTATCCTGATGAAACCAATCACAAAATTTCTGAGAATCCGATGTGTACTCGAATTCGGTCGTCTGAACGGCAATCTGACGTCTTCATCGCTTCGGTCATCCTGCAGTCTTATGACGATGTTAAATTTTTATGATTTCATTGGATGTGGAAAACACAAGTTACTTTATTTTACTGTACAATCGACGAAACAAAGTAACTGGTAATGACGAAGAATTTCTATTTCCGGACCTGTTTGTTTTGTTACAGATACTTTGTCATTGTCACGTTCAAGTGCCAATTGCGAAAGGATATTTTCTTTCGTAAACTCAATAGAAACAAGATATTGTTTTGTTAGCAACAGATATCGAATAGATTGTTACTACTTTTGTAACGTGTAAATATTGAAAGAAATTGTTTAAAAGTAAATTGTATTACATTATCAATTTAGAACAATGTTCTTAAATTGACTGTAGAAAATATGATGATAATTTATGCCTCAGTATTTATACGAAGATGAAAATTAAAATCATGAAAGTAATGCCAATGAATAAAAGATCGCCGATATGTCGCGGATTCTGCGGGTACGCGAAAATTATAAATTTTTTTAATAATAATTTTTTTTTAAATGAAAAGTTAACATTTCAATTTACTTAAATCAGATATATTTAATTTATATGAAGTAGAATGTGCTTTATGATTATAATGGTGCAATTACTCAAGGTTCAAATCGACAAATCGAAGAATAAGATTCGACCAGAACCTTCGTTTAGTTTGGAATCAAATCGTGCATTCATCTAATCAATCGCAAATACTTTTAAATACTGTAAAAAGCTTACCTTATAATCATGGAATTATTTTACAATATTGTTTAATATTTGTTTTTTAAACATTCATATCTAATCAGTAATTTAATAAAAATTCTGATAAATTTATAATTTGGCATAATGCACAGTTATCCTTCCGATCTCTGTGTTAAATGAGTACTATATTTTACTTCAATGCGTTATAACTATTTTTGCTTTATGTATTTTTCTTCAGATTTAGGTATCAATAAAAATAATTATTAAAACGTTATAACGAATTTTATAATTCAATCAAAATTAAATGTATATAAAATATATTATTTTATAAGACAAAATACACATTTTTAGCATGTGGCAACACTTATAAAACGGTAATACGTCATAATAACGATAAGGTTGGCAGCACTTACAGCGAAGTCTCATGCTTCTCTTGGACTTGTAAAGAGCGTGAATTATAAGTTAAGATTTATTAAAGAAAGAAAGTAGTTAAGGTTATCGAAAATTTATAAAGATGAGTACATCCAGTTTCGAAAGACCGACGGTTAATGTCGATCCAGAACTGAAGGATTTCATCGAAGGAGAAACGCAGAAAAGGAAATTCCAATATTTAGTTCACGAATTAACAGAAAAGTGCTGGGATTTGTGCCTGGATAAACCAAGTTCCAGATTAGATTCGAAAACCGAAAACTGTTTAACTAATTGTGTTAATAGATTCATCGATACAACTAATTTCATAGTTCAAAGATTAGAAAAAGAAGGAAGCAAGTATATGAAGGACGAATTAGAATTCAATTAATGTATTATTATTAATTAATATGAAATATACAACTGTTGTAGATCAGCTGGGTTGTTTCATGAACTGTATAGTTTATAGAATGTCATCGCATTTACTATTTTAAAAATTGATTAAAGTATTTGTTTCAATAATAAATGCGAACATTGAAAAATGGGATTTACAGTATGTGAATAGAAAAGTTGTTACAAATACTATTTTCTTATCTAGAAGAAAGTAATGTATCAAATTGTTTTATGATTAAAATTTAGAAACTGACTTGAAGATAATGTGAATTATTTGAAATGTAGAAAATATTTCTTTATTGGTTGTAATTAACAAATTATTAAAGATGAGTAAGTGAAACTTTCAATTGAAAAGTAAGGTAATCACAAAAATTGCTGTTTGGTGTAACTACCTTAAAAATTGAATACGAAAATCTGTTGGTAATCTTTGTTTTATAGTAGGAAGCATATGCCTTCCAATTTCTTATAACTTTTATTAGGCAAAAATAGAAACTGAATAGTAAATAAAATATAGTATTTTTATTATTTATAAATATTGAAAATCTAATGAAAAGATTTTAAGATGCTACTTATTGAATAAAAATCTTGAACAAATGTTTCAAATTTTGTTTTAGCAAAAATTTTTGTTGGAAAAATTATTATTCTTCAGGCAAAAGTTGTAAAACTAACATAATATAAAAATTTAGAAACAAGAATTCGCATGGATATATTTGTACCAAAGGATTATTCAGTGTCAGTAGTATGCTGCACCCTCCTGCCTAGACCCCCTTTAAAGGGTTGATTTTCCAGGGAGTCGTTTGCTTCCCACTTTAACAACATAATTTTTCGTATATTCTCCTTATATAATGGCTATAGTTTCTGCATTTGTCTTTTTCGAGAGCTCGTAATCGTGTGGGATAAAGCTAAGCTTTTTCTAGTGATAAAATTCATTGTTTTAAATTTATGAAATATTTTTATAATTAGAATAAATATTGATTAAATTTTTAAAACAAATTTTATTGAAAATTAATAAAAACTGGAGAAACAACACAAAATACAATACAAAATAATCAGTAACAGCATATAGCCTACAAATTTATTGAAAAGAAAGAAAATACAACAGTTTACATCAGTTTTTCAACATGATTAACAAACAACTTATTATTTGGCTTCTTAAAATAATTTATTATAAATGCATTATTATGAACATTTCACACATTACTATTTCTTTCCTAAACAATAAAACTAAATTACAACATTTTTAATTTGGACAATAATGGAAAAATGTTTAATTCAATTAATATATAAAATTTAAACTTTCCAATTTAATATATTTTACAATATAATCATATTCATATAAAAAAAAATGCAATGAACACAACTTTATTTTTTTCCACTTATTCTGATAAACAGTTTATTTCTCTAATGTTTTGACTATTATATTAATTAATATATGAATTTTCCATAAAATACTTATTCTTATGATTAAAGAGAAAAAGGATTTGTTGATTATTTTATAATTTATAACTAAATAACAATTATATTGTATATATGTTTTATGATAATTAACATAAAATATATTCTATTTTATATAATTGCTAGATATGACTAGATTTGTATGTCTGACAATGATTTATTAAGACGATGAAATTAATTTCACAAAAACTAATGTATATGTATACATTAACAGAATTAAATACTTATCACAGTTCAATTACATTAATTAAATTTAAGACAATTAACAGATAAAAACTGTACAGAAACATATGAAAAGTAGAATACTTTTTAACAAACTAAATTTTAAAAAAATGGCCTTCATTACTCTCCAGTTTCATTTTTTCTAATACCATTTCTATATCGTCAACTTTTTCAACACGAAGCTTAATGACAATTTCCATTTCCCCAAAGCCAAATTGAAGTTTGTTTACAAAAATATTTTGATATACAACACTATTTTAAAAAATTTATATCTAAATTTTAATTTGCAATAACATTAATTTAAAAAAGTTTTGTATAATAAATTAAATTTACACAAACAGTCTTATTCAGCAATTTTTATTAAATCGTATTTTAAACCATCAAATTAATATACAAATTAGAAATTCAAACAAATGTTTATTTGGGTAAAAAAAAATTACTGGATAAGGCAATATTTGTGTAATAGTTTAGCAACATCCTATTGTAAATCCTGTGAACATAAGCTTAGCAATATGCAATGTATACAAGTGAAATTGTTTATGTCAGATTACAAATAATTTAAACTTATGAAATATGTATACAATATTTAGATAAAATAATCATGTCTCTAATATTAAATTAATAATTTTAACTGAAAATATTAACATAACAAGATTATATCACAGACTATTGACTAGTATCCATGTTTTCTATAAAAAAAACTTACAATGTAAAACAATATAATGTTCTTTTATATGCTTACAAATGATACAATAGAAACATTCAAAAAATTTTTGAACTGGCAGTCTGAATCTATAATTTCTACAAATAATTAAATTGTTTCAAAATAAAAAATATATATATTTTATCAATAATATTTTACTACAAAATAATGGACCACATATTTTATGAATTATGAAAATTTGAAGAGAATAAATATTTTAAATACAAGTAAGAAATTTGTAGGAGATTGATTCAACACAAAAAAAATGAATCATATATTTCAGACAATTCATAACCTATTAAATAAAACAAGTTATTAATTTTTTGTATCTATATTTTTATGTAAAAATTTAAAATTAAACAAATGAATAAAAAAATTAAATCGGCATAGGATTTCCCATCAGCCTAGATAAAATCTGTAAATAATTTTCATTCAATTTTATTTTCTGAATTAGAAAAATATCTGCAGCTTAATTTACACATTTAAATCTGCTATTATTCCATTTTAAAGTTTCTTACAAGATAATGACTTATATTTGTTGAAAGTAGAAATAATAATTGAATAGTTTGGAATATAGAGGCAGATACAATATTTAAATTTTAAGGAAATGTATTTAAAAAAACAAAATTTTCAAACATAACTAACTATCCTGTACTTTATGTACTAAAGCTGGTGCATAAAATATTCTCTAACATATTCAATAATATGTAAGTTGAAAACTTAATATCAAATCAAACATCTAAATTAATTTGTGAAAGTTTTTCCAACATATTCATTTAATAATTTAATTAAACACTCTACATATTATTACTTCTGTTTGAAAATGTCAGTACATCAATGATTGATCGAAACTTTTTTTGGAATTCAGAAATAAAATTCAAAACTTGCTCAGCATTTTAGTTAAACTTTCTACAATGTTATCTAAAATAACTGCATAACAAAATTAAAATTTACATTGAAATAACTGCAAAGCACAAAAAACTACACTTTTAGATTTATGTTTTATATTAAATGCTTGATATAAAGTATGATAAGAAATGGGAACGTTTTCTGTTAAAGAATATATAAAATCATATTATATAACATTTATTAATAAACAAATATTTTCAAATTATTATTTTTTAAATAAGAAAAATATCAATAAGATCAATTATCAATAAGAATAAGTTACTATCTTTTAATGACAATAAATCATGATAATGATAAAGAATACTGAAGTGATCTTATTTTGAAAAGATATATAACATAAATATATATTGTTTTAGTTAATTAATAATACATATTATAGTAAACAATTTACAGAATTAATTATACATTAAATAACCATAAATATGAAATTCAAATATGTAATATTTTTTTCTTCATAAAAAGGACATGATCAAAATCAACAGTTTATTTTCTGTACAGTTATTAAAGTTTCTAGTCACAGACAATTAAAATAGCTTTAATGTTTTCAAGTATTGGTATGTTTTCAGTATTGGTTATTCAAATCACAACTGGTTTAATGAAAAGTCATCACAAAAGTCAATAATTAGTAGAAAAAATATATTAAAATAGTTATTTACCTGCATGAAAAATACTTATTTTAATGTTATTACTATATATTCATCAATAAGAAAAATATTTTACTTAAATTAATATATCACATTTTGTGTAAAATAAATGATTTAATGAAAATACTGATTCAGTTATTCTTAAATGAATTATGATCAAGTATTTTCTAATAAGTTTAACAATTAAAATAGAAATTGTGATGTGCATATTGAAATTTCAAGTATATAAAGTCCGTATATTATTTCTGGAACTTCTGTTTTTATTGACATATGGAGTTATATATACTTCCTGGCTCAATTTAATTTCATGTATTCAATTTGGCATTTTGTAATATATAAATTCATAGATAAACTGTATAAATAAATTTAATAATAAAATAAAATTAATATATAAAGTAGAAATTCCTTTTTATGAATCTTCACAAAAGTATGAACAGAGGGTCATGCTCTTAAACATGACCCTCTTTTCATACTTATCAATAAAGTGTTATATTATAATCTTATATGAGTGCAGCAAGATCTTAAAGCATTTAAAGTTTTAATTTTTTTTAAATATTTATCTTCTTTAACACTTAAACTAAATTTATAAAAATGAGTAAAAAAGCACTGAGCAAATTTGGAATGTATATTTCTTGATTCTGGATTTCACAAATAAATTTTACTTTATTTTAGTTATCAACTAAAAGTAATTCAATGAATTTATAATAATTTTCCAAATAAAAATACTCAATGTTTTAAATATAAAATATTTTTGTAAGAAACTTGTCAAAACATACTGATAATGGTTATTATAGCAGTTTCAAAAATTAGTAAAATTTTAATCATCATTATTAAATATATTATTATACACAAATAATTTGAAAAAATATTTTTTTTTTCAAATTATTTAATATTTCCTATTAAATAATTAAAATGAAAAGTATAAATTTCATAATAATATCTAAAAACAAATCTATTTATAACTTAGATTCAAGAATTTCCAAAAATTATCACCATCAAATTAATCTTATTGTAGTTCAATGGCATAATATAGATCAGAGTTTCTCAAACTTTCTAATATCACGACCTTCAAAATGTATATATGTATAGCCTTCAATAATAAACTACTATGTTTTTTTAAATGTAAAAAGAAATGGATCCATTATTCTTCAACACTAAGATTTTAATTTACATATAACACATTAAAAAAATCATACAATCTTATAACTTTTATTTTAATTGGCAAATATTCAGAGGCTGATAATATCCAATAATGGGCTATCACATACACTAATAATTGAAACTTATTCATCTTAAATGTGCTAACAGAATCATTTATACAATTAA